AAGAAAGTGGGTGCTAACCAACCAGGAACAAGGGAACAACAAATGATCCAAAGTGGATGGTTAGGAGGGTGAAGGAGGCCTGGTAGGGTTTGATCAAGGGCAATGTAATCAAGAGCAATTACTGAAACCCAAATGAAGGCTGAACATAATAGTGGGACAAGGTGAAAGTAAAAGGAAATAAAGGAAAGAACTAGGAGGCAAAGGGCATTTATAGAGGTCTAAATACAGACATGTATATATGCAAACATATTCGTATGTGATCAGGAAATAGATCTATGTGCATTTATTTATAGGTTTAGTATTAAGGTGGCAGTTTGATATTAGGCCTCCACTCAAGTAGTCCCTCAATGCAAGAACACTTTATTCTATTAACCTGGCAGTACATGCTCACCTTCCCGACATGATCGCTGAAAACAAAGAGAGTGTATAAGCAAATGTGGTGAAGAAAGCTGATGGTGCCCAATTATTAAAAGATACAGCGTCTGGCTTGAAGATAAACAAGCGGCCATCTAGCTGAGAAGCAACAAAGCACACATGGAAAAGGCACACCAGCCTGTGTGATTATGAGGTGTCAATTAGGATCAAGTATTAGGCATCAAAGAACAAAAAAATCATTTCATTGTGAATGAGGGGGAGTGTGGAGTGGAGACCCAAAGCCCATCTGTAGGCAACTGGACATCCCCTTACAGAAGGGTTGTGGGGAGGAGACGAGCCAATCAGGGTGCAGTATAGCAACGATGAAACATACAACTTTCCTCTAGTTCTTTAATGCTTCCTCCCCACTATTATCATGATCCCAATACTACCTTACAAATCCAGCTAGACCAGAGGATGTACACTGGTACAGATAAGAACTGGAAACAGGGAATAAAGGACAGATAAACCCCTCAGGACCAATAATGAGAGTAGAGATACCAGGAGGGTAAGGGTAAGGGTAAGGTGGGGGGGCGGGGGGAGGATTGTAACTGATCACAATGATCTCCATATAACCCCCTCCCCGGGAGACGGCCAACAGAAAAGTGGGTGAAGGGAGACATCAGACAGTGAAAGACATGACAAAATAATAATAATAATTTATAAATTATCAAGGGTTCATGGGGGGGTGGCAAATGAGGAGTTGATACCAAGGGCTCGAGTAGAAAGAAAATGTCTTGAGAATGATAATGGCAACAAAGGTACAAATGTGCTTGACACAATGGATGGATGTATGGATTGTGATGAGAATTGTACGAGCCCCCAATAAAATGATCAGGGAAAAAAAAAAATTAGATGGGAAGAAATCCAGAAACTGAAGAATGTACCTGATGCCTGGTGACTACTACAGAAATGAGATGCAAAACCAAAGGCAATTAGATACTTATTATAATGAAGCAAGGAATGGAGCCAAGATGCTGGCTTATTCAGATAGCAAAGATCCGAGCAACCAAGTGAAACAAAGACAGATGATAATCCTGGAACCTTGAGCATCAAATATTAGGGCAAAAAGTAGAGGCTTTTAATCCCTTTACTCCTCACCAGTGCTGTGTAGCCTTGATCAAGTTGTACTGTGTTGTACATTGTCACCCATTACTCAACATAAGGGAATTGCTGACGTGAGTAACAGGCAAGAAGAAGATGTAGGGCAGATGACCTGATCTTATACATAGAAAACTCCAGATTCCCACAAGAAAGTAAGTAATAAAAGGCTGTGGGATGGAAGTGGGAGTAGCTTCGGCCAATACAGTATCAACATAGAAGTCTGATATCGGTAATAATAGCTGTCCCATCCCCCTCCTGCAAAATGATAAAATGGCTACAGTAAATTTAACAAAGGATATGAAACTCTTATGTCTAGCATAAAAGAAAGCTACAAAACACACTCCAAGAAATTAAAAGAGACCAACATAAAAAGAAAAACATGCTTCATGGACTGAAGATTGAGCATTATGAAAATGTCAATTGGGGGAGAGAAGGTATAAGAGGGAGACAAGACAATGTCAAGGAGTCCAGGAAGGAAAAGAATGTTTGGAAATGGAATGTAGTAGCAATTATACAATACTGCTTGATTCAACTATGGAATGATATATGTATTAACTCTAATTAAAAAATAATTTGAAAAAGAAAGTGCCTGGGGGAGGGAGGGGATAAAGGGGACCTGATATCAAGGAGTTCAAGAAGAAAATGTTTTGAAACTGATTGTGGTACCAACTGTACAATACTGCTTGATGTGATTAACTATGGAATGTCATATCTGTAAGAGGAGGGAGGGGAAAAATGAGGACCTAATGCCGGGGGGCTTACGTGGAGAGGAAATGTTTTGAGAATGATGAGGGCAATGAATGTACAAATGCGCTTTACACAACTGATGTCTGTATGGATTGTGATAAGAGTTGTATGAGCCCCTAATATAATAAAATGATTAAAAAAAAGAGAAATCCCAATAAAAAGATTGACTGTTTAAAAAAGAGAAATGAAACCACCGTAGCCAAAAATAAAAATCCTTTCCGTGAGAATGTGGAAAACAAAGAAAATGCCAATTCTACTCAAAGTAATCTATAAATCTAGAATGCAATCCCAGTACAATCCCCTACAAAGTTAGATAACAAAATGGAAAAACTAATCAGACTTTATACAGAAAGGCAAAAATCAAGCCCACTGCCACTCCCTACACCAGCAGTGTTTAAAAGTACCAATCTCTGCACCACCTCACTAATATGTGTTGCTTTCTGGTTTAGAATGATCAGTGCCATTTTTACAAGATGAGGCCTCATTGTAGTTTGATTAGTGTTATCTCTAAAGGCTGATGGTGGGAAGTGGCTTACCTGTCCTTGCTAGCAACCTGAATGTCTTCTTAAAGGGTCTGTTCGTGTTCTTTGCTCATTTTATTGGACTGTGTGTGTGTATGTTGTTGTTGTAAATTTATCCTATTATGTTTTCTACATATTTTAGAGCAGTGTTTCCTAAGTGGATGATGCTGCGCCCCCACCCCGGGGGAGCTGGGAGGATACAATGAGGCTGGCAAAAGCAAGATACCTAAACTTAACATGGATTATGGGCTGTAGTACAGAAAACTTTTCCATATCCTAGGGTACTGATATTAACCTCCAATACCCCCACTGAAAAGTGAGAGGAGGGCCAATAAGTTTGGGAACCTGCATTTAGAGATTAGAACCTTGTCAGATACATTGCTGCCAATTTTCTTCCCTTAGTCTGTAGGGTGTGTGTGTGTGTGTGTGTGCGCGCGCGCGCGCGCTTTGCTCCTTTAGGACAAGTATTTTAATCAGTATAAGCTTGTGAATGGTCATCCATGATACAATTATCATCCTCCTCACAGGTATCATCCTCCTCACAGGTAGAGCAGAGAAGAGTGAGGAAAATAACAAAGACTACAGTAAACAAGTCTCCCAAAGCCTGGGACCAGAAATAGATGGTACCTGACCAACTAACCACTCTTGACCAGGGAAACAATTCTTGGTTAGAAGGGTTGGAAAATGTCGACAAAACTCAGATTCAAAACAGAGACAACTTACTGGAAAGACAGAATGGAGGAAGCCCAAACCTACCACTCTAATATACCCTTTTAACTTAGAACTGAACCCACTCCTAGAAGTCAACTTTCAACCAAATAGATGCTTTCAACTAAACCATAATGCCATTTATTGAAACAACATCCATGAGAACCATGCTTATCAACAGGCAACATTTACTCAAAAGTGAAGATAAAAATAAAACGGACAGAAATGGAAAACTAGTAGAAATGGAAGAGTACTTTCATACTGAGAGGACAGGAACCAATTATCAATGAACAATTTAAATCAGGCAATTAGTTTGCAGTATAAACTTTTGAAATCACGAAATGGATGAGAGGTAGAGAAAATATACTTGCAGATTTATAATGATTTAATTTAAAATCATAACAAGTGACTTTTGAGTTTTAGCAGTCAATGCTAAGTTCGAATTCGGGCAAGATTTTCCCAACACTGCTTCATGAGCCTCAGGATTTTATGTCATCAAAATCGGAAATTATTTACAATTATTTGTTTTAAAAGAGATCAGCTTGAGAAGCTATAGTTAGTGAGCCAAGTGTTAGCTAGTGGTTTTTTTTCCTGTTTTGGTTTTTATTAATCATTTTATTGGGGGCTCGTACAATTCTTATCACAATCCATACATACATCCATTGTGTCAAGCACATATATACATTTGTTGCCATCATCATTCTCAAAACATTTGCCGTCTACTTGAGCCCTAAATATTGGCTCCTCGTTTTCCCCCTCCTTCCCTCCCCCCCTCCCTCATGAACCCTTCATAATTCATAAATTATTATTTTGTCATATGTTACACTGTCCGACGGTTCTTAGATGATGATACAAGCATTCATCACTCAGCTGGTTTAACAACCCAAAAAGAAGATGGTGATAAAAACCCAGAATAAGGGCAGAGGGAGACATGAGCTTCATCATGTTATATAATCACTGGACTCACAGATTAATTTGATTTTCTTAAATTGCCATCACCATACACAAGTAAGTATTTTCTATAGATGTCAAAGATTATTCATTTGTAATCTTTTGGTGTGCAATTACATAGTCAAATATTCAGCATTTGTCCCACTTTATTTCCATAAAAATCGCTGCTTTGACACCATAACTACCCACACCAAGAATTAACCATTGTGCTCCTTGTCCCCAGCAGAATCGGGTTATATAGTACTGGCAAAATGTAACATCTTTTAATTACAAATGAAAATAACTCAGTGCCTTTTATGGGAGGGAGCCGGGAAATTGAATGACCTTCAACAATACTATTCATGCAGGGAAAGTATATTTTTAATAAGTTTAAGTTTGGGGGTGGTATAAAGTCCACAAGGTTAGAGATTTTTATTTCTAATGCACTGTTTGAGGTTTGTCTGTCAATACTTATTGGCAATTTAAAATATTAGTACATATCAATAGGATGTAAATAAAACCTCTGGATAGAATAAAAGAAAAATATCACACATCTATGTAAAAGCCAATTTTTACCTTGCCTCATTAGCATTAACTGGTGTTCGTGCCTAGCTGCTTCCATTTCTGCCTCTAGTTTCTCTTTGGCTTCTCTGATGTTTCTATCAACCTGCTCCCGCTGCTGCTTTTCCATTTCGTCAAGAGCCTTCCATCGAGATGCATACTCAAATTCAAATGTCCCAGGCTGGGCAAAACGCGGAGGCTGTTCTCTTTCCCTAAATTTACATTGTAAAAACATACACAGAATGTATGTTTAAAGGCAAATCAGCAAAACACCGTAATAACTACTATTTATTGAGCTCTTTGAAATGTTGAAGATACTGTAACTGGCAGGTTCTGCCAAGTACTATCTCATAGCAATACCTTGAGGTGAATCTTATAGCAATACCTTGAGGTGAATCTTAAAGGCCTGAGATGAAAAACTACCCACGGACACAGATCTAGTAAGTTAATGACACCAGGATTCAAACCTAAACAATTTGATGGTAAAACCTGTACTCAATTATCACTTTAAATAAAGGTTGCTTTTCATTCAAATAACAATTTACATAAGATAAATCTCTAACACTGGAATCAGTGTGTCCCAAGTTAGATGCCTGGAATCAGTTTTCTTTCTCTAAAGGATATTTAGAGACACTAATTAAAGGCAGCCAAATAATAGGTGTTGTCTGCCAGATTGAGTTGGCCAAGGAATAAAGGCCTAAAAATATACTTGAAATAAAAACAAAATGTTCAATTATTCTGGGGTATTGTAGCTCCCATTAAGAAAAGTATTGATAACAACAGAACCCCCATCCCATCCATGAAAATATAAAATATTTCACAATTTAAATTTTAAGTTTAATTTGGGGTCCAGGAAGGATGGTCATGAGTGAAACCAAAGGGGGAGCTGCCACAGAGGGAAAAACGTAGTAACAATAGCTTCAAAGAGTATGTGTATAGCAAGCAGTATGCGAAAAATCAGTCGGCCACAGCATAACAATTCTGTGTCTGGAGACAGATTTGTATTATTTGATAATTATAATCATCCACTAATTTTTCTGAAAGAATTAATAATTAACAGTTCTTTTTTAAAAAAATTTTTGTTGTGAGAGAGCGAGGCAGTGAGTGAGTCAGGCAGTGAGTGAGGCAGTGAGACAGTGAGAGAGTGAGGCAGTGAGAGAGTCTAATTAACAGTTCTTATAGATCCACTGTAATCATAAAAATGTGACAAGTTCATTTTCTTCCCAGGGAAATTTTAAAAACATAATATAGACTCTTGGAATAGAGCTGAGCTAGAGTCTTCGCCCGCTTTGTAAACCTGCCTGTCAAGAACTGATTATTAGTAATATTTGGAACATAAGTAGGTTTGCTGAGATAATTAAATCTTTATGTAAACATATATCTGTACATTCTGTGTTTTGTGACACTTTCTAATTCCAGTTGTCTAGTTTCTGAATCTAAAAGTCAGCTGCTCTTTCAAATTTGGCATAAGAAGCCATGACCAGAAAAACTTTTAAGTGGATGAAAAAAATCTTTGAAAAATGACATGACTTACTTCTGATGCCTTTTCCCTTAAAATGATTTCTTCCCTGGCTTCCAGAACACTCCCCTACCCCCCATAGCTCCCTTTATTCCACTGACTGCTGCCTGTTTTTGCTGATTCCTTCTGGTAATCCAAATCTCTATCAATATTTAATTCCAAGCAGGAAAGCTCCTCTAGTTTCCAAATTCAAATCCAACTCCCACTTTATATTACTACTTGGAATGTCGATCATAGTGAAGGTAGTATGTTCACAACTGAGTTTCTGATCTTCCCCAAAAATGTATCTCCAAATCACTTATAAATTCCCTACTTTCAGTTGCTTAGGCAAAAAAAACCTTAGTTATCCTTATTACTGTGTTTCTTCCTTTCTCACTGGCACCCAACTCTCATTCCCTATCCCATCGCCCCCTCAAAAAAAGCCAAAATCAACTAAATGGCCTATAAAAGTTAACCCTTCACTCCTTCCCAGCACATTCCATCTAGAACACCTCCATCCCTTATCTGACTCCAGCTTCCGTGACCTATACTATTCCTGAAGGGAACATTCCTCCTTCATTGCCCCTCAAGAGCCATTAAGGACAAGAACAAAGGCATACATTGCCCTCCAATTTACTCAACATCTGCTATCTACATGGCTAGCTTACTAATCTCTTTCAAGTGTTTACTCAAATGTCACCTTTTTAGGGAGTCCTTCCTAACCACGAAATTACTCCTGTGTTCCCAGGCATCCCTTTCCACTGTCTCATGTTCCTCTCTAATCATTTTACTTGTTTGTCTGTCTCCCCATCCCACTCACACCACTATGCACTTTGGGCTACTTTGTACAATGGTATTATGGCCACTGTTTGGCACATAGTAAACGTTCCATGTTGCTGTGTAGATCAACTACATGGAAAAGCATCCAACTGCACTAAAATAAAAAATGCTAATTAAATCATAGGCAAGAGATAGCATTTTGAGCACAATCTTAAAATAAATTTTAACATCCTACCACCAAATTTTTTTCTTGGGAGGGGGGAATGAACAAAATTAATGCTTTTATATAAATATGCCAATGAACATAAATTAGTAAAATCAATCTCAAGAGATTTTAAATAAGCATATCTTTTGATCTAAGCTCTTATACTGATTTAATTAGTTTACTCATTATTAATAGCATTTCTCACTACTTAATGTTACGTTTCATATTCTTATTCATTGACTTTATGTCTCTCCATCACCAGAAATGTAACCAACAAGAGGCCAAAGATAGTTCAAGACTACATTGGAACAGTGACTGGCCCAAAGGCCCTCCAACTTGAATTCCACATTGGAAATATATGCTTGTTTAATTTCATAAACACGACTGAGTAAAATTCAACAAGTCATATAAGCAATTTCTATAAAAACATTCAAAACTGAGAAAGACAATTGGTAAAAGAACACTATTGTTGAGAAAAGGTTTTCTTTTTATCTATTAGAATACTTAACTCTGTGCCAGTTTACTTGGATTATTTAATTAGGTACCTTCACCAAAAAGTGTATCTCACAATGTATCTGGATCACACTGTTGAAGTAATTTCCACTATATTGATTTTATTCATTCTGTAGCCATAAAGCTTACTGGTAAGTTTCCACGGACCCACACAACCCCTGTCCCAGTTCTAGGAGTGTTTCTGAAGAAAAGGAATGTTTAGAAAAAAAAGGAAAAGAAAATGAATGTTTCATCCATATAAAAAAGAACCAAGCATTCCATTTAGAGCAGGCCACTTTAGTAACCAAAACATATGAGGGGTACCCTCCCAAAAAAACAGATGTGACATTTGGAACTAGTGCATTTGGAGCTTGTTCCACCAGGTCAGATTATTAACCAAGCTTTCTATTTAGAGCAGTGGTTCTCAACGTTCTTAATGCCACAACCCTTTATTACAGTTCCTCATGTTGTGGGGATCCCCAACCATGAAGTTATTTTTGTTGCTACTTCATAACTGTAATTTTGTTACTGTTATGAATCAGGCGACCCCTGTGAAAGGGTCTAAAAAGATTGCGTGTAACAGTGTGCAACAAAGAAAGCGATTAGATGAGGCACTGGTTTTGCTACCATGACAATGCACCTGGTCACACAGCCATCTAAGTGATCCAGTTTTTGGCCCCAAAAAACTGGCACACCTCTCTTGCCCCACCCACCTTATTCACCTGACTTCATTCTGTGTGGCTTCTGTTTCCCTGAGGACAGTGATTTGACAAGGTTGAAGAGGTGAAGAAGGAAAAAAAAATGAGGAGAGGTGCTTTCAGCCATTCCAACCAGATAAAAAATGTTTCCAAGAATGGAATCACAGATTTGGCAAATGTGTTAAGTGCAATGGAGAGAACTTTGAAAGCAATAAGGCTGTTTTGTTTTTGTGGGTTTATTTTTTTTTTTTTAATAAGGTTTCGTTAAAAAAAATTTCCATACCTTTGGGGAAAATTCCAGTTGTTTTTTTTTGGGGGGGGACCTTGTATTACAGTTCCAAACATAGCATTATATATATATATACACAGTCCAACAATTGATCACAAATGTGATAATACCCTTGAGGGTATCCAAATGAAATGGCTTTATTAAGAAAAATCGTACTTATGATACTGTTGAGTCTTCTGCATCAGCTTCTCTGGCAAGCCATCTTCATCATCGAACTGCTCCATAGGCTCCACGATGACAGGACGAGGGGTTCTGGACAGAGCAAAAAGCATGAGGAGGAATTAACTTCCTGTCTATATTAACTTCATCCTAGACAAGGTTTTACTTGCAAAATATATACAGAATCTCAAAGGTATCATATGTACTCATAAAATCAGTCAAATAAACAGTGAAACAGACAGTAAATACAATCAAGATGTCAGAAACGGAAACAGTTAACTATGAACCACTGTAGTTGATATTACAAAGTACAATAAAAAGAGTATTTAAATGTTTTATTTACGTCTTTGCCACCATCTCATACAACGTATCTCTCTCTGCATACTGTGTCTATGTCTGCAATGCGAAAATTTATTTATTTTGTCTCGTCTAGTCATAGTTTTTGTTACACCCACCAAACAACTGTCATTTTCCTGGTGGGCCGGGATAAAAAGGTGGGAGAAGAGTCCAATTTGATTTTATCAGTGTTTCCCACAGTGGGCAGGCAATATCACCACCCCTGGGGTGTAGGGGCTACAAAAGCAGATACCTGTTCTTTACCCTTGATGATGGGTTCTTAGTACCAAGTAAGTTTAGGAACCTAAGGATTATGAGATTCAGTTGTGACTGTTAACAGCGTTAATTTTGATTGCCATTTTGCTGGGTTTAAAATGAGCCATTTCAGAAGCAAGCTTGGGAGGGAAGGGGGTTTGCTATCAGCAAAAGCGAGCCAGTAGACAGTTGTGACACCATAGCAAGCCACAGTATCAACAAACTCAATCCATGAGATAGGGCGGTTGGTTTCCCATTCTAGACTAGTAAAAGTTGAGTACTCTGGGTATTTAAGGGAATTTGATTTTCCGACCCCTAAGATGTGAGCTGAATGCCTTCAGATTAAGGTTTATATCCAAGTGGCATGCCTTTTAGGCAATTAGCTGCTAAAAGAGTTTTGTAACATTACCCCCAGGAAGGCTAAGAACAGGCCAATAGGCTAGATAAGAGGCCTGCATGTAGGCACTGCAAAGAAGATACTGTCCTAACTAAATAACTGTATCCTAAAAAAAATAAAAAGAATTGTATAAGGAGCACGTCTAACCTAAAATGTAACCTGTTAACTTCCTTAATAAGGTCCACAATTGTTTATCCTTGAGTTCTGTACACCCAGTGCAATCAACTATCAAACTCAGCTACAGAAGCAGAGTGCTATGACAGTGACAATTGGTGTCAGCTGGAGGTAGATGTGGAGGCAGTTGACCTCAGCTTCATAGAAATCAGCCTCATGCCACTATTGATGCTGATGATGGTGGTGATACAATGCCCCAACCTCTGATTTCACAATGCCACCCCACTTTAATATCCCTTATTTAGAAATCTTAAAGCAAAAAAAAAAAAAAGAACAGGATGAGGATTAAAATACTAGCACACAGGTAGAAGAAATGGTGGGTTTGTTTAGTTTTAGAGGGAGAAAAGAGGGAAAAAACAGTTGCTGATAAAACAACTGAATACAGAAATTCTCCATGTTTACAATTTTCCTAAGAAAAAGAAGTTGGAGACTTCATTTGGAAAAATAAGAAATAAGTGGAGTAGATGATATACTGGTAACAGCACTCCCCTGGGCTACCAGTCACCAAGGAAGCAACAGGAAGATCTACTGAACACCACAAGAGGTTGCTCAGAGAGAAAAACTTGACTGCTAACTTTTGAGGTTTTTATAAGTACTTAAAAAGTACCAGTGCATTATAAGAATTTATCATAATATGAGTAAACGGGATGAGTAATAGAATACAAAGAGTTATCATCTAATACATGCTAAAATTTGATTTAAAAATCAGCAAATAACAGAATTACTATCCAGCAATTTCACTTAAAGGTGTGTGTGTGTCCGTGTGTCCAAAAGAAACAAAAGATGAGATGTAAATATTTGCACACCAGTAGTTCAATGCAGCCAACATGCTAAAAATACAAATAGCCCATCAACAGATGAATAAACAATGAGGTACCTCCATAAAGTAGTTTTACCCAGTCACGAACA